AGCCTTGAGGACACAATGTCTGAGGCAGACGGGCTGGAACAAAGATCTCCAGGTGAGAGGGGGCCAGAATTCCATTTCCTGAGGCTGACCAGTGCATCTAGAGCTCACTAGGAGTTGGTAGGGCATGAAAGGCTGGGTCTGGAGACAGGGGAGGCCTCCTGGAAGACAGAAGCTCACTCAGCAGCCACAGTGGATGCCCTGGGGAGTGATGAGCAGAGATCCACAGGAAGGAGGCTATTTTGGTTAATAATGGTTGTTGAACACAAGTGACTCACCAGAGAGGGCTGTGAAATCCTCCTTTACTCATCACTCACGCCCTCCTGCTGTAGGGCCCTGGTGTGATAGGGCCAGGTGTGGCTCACCAGAAAAGAATTTAAATCCCTGGTCTAATCCGCTAATCTTGGCCTGTAAATTTCAGGAAAGCATCTGACCTGCCCTACGAGTGAAAACATCTTAGATGATCTTGGAAGCTTTTGGGAACTTTCTGAAATTCTATCTGGGGTTGGTAGATAAAGACCCTTGTCATGTTTGCCATGCAGCAGTTAGACTGAAGGCCCCAAATGGCCTCAAGTGTTGGCCCCAGGTGGTGAGCTGCTGGATAACACCTTGGTAACACACTAGCTTACAACTGTTGATGAGTTGAAATGTGATGTAGCACAGCTTTGGCTCAATTGATCAAGCTGATTAGACACATCCTTGGTATAACAAGGACACTCAGCAAGTCTCCCTAATAATGTCCTGCTTATGCACTACCCCTTAGAAGTAGGCACTGGCCAGAGCAGAGAACAGTCATGGAACTGTGGCATGGAGCATGTGGACAGGGCCACCTCTCTTGGGGCTGGAGAAGCAGAGTCATTAGTATCTTGTAATACCAGCTGGTTTTCTCATTTCTCCCTTTAGAACTTGAGACTCAGGAGTCCTCAGAGAGGAATATGTGAATGTTCTGCATGGTTGGGCCTCGTGGCCTTTAGTCAGTCGATTAGAATATCCTCACCATGTGTAGTCAGTGAGGTTATTTCAGTCATCTTAATGACTCACCTGAGAAGTCATTAAGACAGTTGAAATAGCCCAGCCAGTCTCACAGGCCGTGTGACCACAAAGCTCCCTGAGGGATATAGGTTCCTTGAGCCTCCTCGTACCACCTAAGCCAGGTGAGTCTATCTGTATCACATGCCTAGGGAGCAAGACCCTCACCACATGTCTCTTCAGGCCCTGTGGCTCCTGAAGTCTCACACAGGAGGAGTTCTATGGTCTGGTATGGGGCACTTGGTTGGGGACTGGTAGTGGTCACTGTGGAGTCCCCTCATAGGGACTATAGAGCGAAGGATACACAGGCCTGCTCAGCCCCTGCTGGAGGGCATATGCTTTGGAGTTGTGGATTTGTTAGTTCAGTCTGCACTGGGTCCCAAGCCCCACTTGAGATCCTGTGTACAGGTATTCACATTGGAATGGTGGGCATATCCTGAAAGCAGAAGAGGGCGGCAACAAGGGCAACATAGGAAAGCTGTGGTCGGACCTGACCAGGTGGGGAGGATCAAAGAGGCTGATGTCCTCTGGGCGGTGCAAAGAACACCCAAGAGAGCAGTGCAGCAAGGTCCAGGAGCAGGAGGCCACTGGGTGTGGCTAGCAGAGGAGAACTGGTCACTTGGCCATCAAGAACATGGACACTATTGGCTATCAGGTCAGTGGAGCTCATGTGAGGCAGGCAAACCTTAGGAGGGGCAGGGCATGTTTTTTGGAGCCAGGAATATTCTGGCACATCTTAAAGCTGTAGGGCTTAGTGGCTTTAAGAGGTAGGAGCCAGGAAAGCTCTTGTGTGCCTAAAGGGACGGGTAAACAGGAGGAGGAGGAACTTGGGAATCTTGAGTTTGTAGGCATGCAATGTGCCTGTGCGTCCCCAGATGACCAGACAGAAGCTTAGATCTGAGCAGCTGCCTGGGGCCAACTTCAAGATGTAGAATCTAATGGCTACCGGTTAGAAGATGCCCTGGGGGAGGAACAACAAAAACACCACCTGAAACTGAAGCAGCCCACTTCCAAGACACTTACCTCAGAGACAGGAAATCTGCAACCCCCTCCATGCAGATTTCAAATCCATGCGGTTGGGTTCAGCTCCCCGCAAGCCCAGCAGGGTACACAGCCAGCTCCTTGTGTTCTCTGCCTCCAGCAGCTGTTAGGGCATGTGAACTGCTTTGAAGGAAGCAGCTGGAAGGCTTTCCTAGACCACAAAAGTCCTGGAGGGTGAACATCCTCAGGTGAAAGGGTGTCTCTCTCCACCCATGGCAACTTCCATGGCTGACCTGATCAGTTGACGGGATATGTCCACAGGCCATCTGGATAGGAGACCAGGTAACCAGACTGTGATGACCAGGTACCGCAAACAGCAAGCCCGAGCTCTGAGACTGCTTCTTGGCTCTTCCAATCACGAGATGCTGATCAGTGGTGTTTCTTGTCCCCTCTGGGCACAAGGGAGTGTGAGTGGCTGCTGGCAGGGGCAATCAGGGGGTTGCTCTGGGTCAGATTACCCTTGCAAAGACAGAAAGCTGCTCCTTCCTGGGGTATTGGCCCTCATGTCCTGATTAGTCAGAACAATAGTGTTCTTAGTGGTGGACAGCACAGCTGCTGTTTGGATTAGTTATTTTTACACAGCTGTCATTCCTGTGTGCCACACTCACTCACGCCCCACCAGGGTTTTCTGTGTGCTCAGACTGTAGTTCTTGGGTAAGACTCAGATCCACATGTCAGCTCTCTCAGCACACACTTGTCTGAGGCTTGGAGAGGCCTCCCTACCCTGGTGGTGCTCAGGACCAGGACCAGCACCAACACAAAGGTCTCCCAGGAAGCTCCCTAAAGCTCTCCTGCCTTTGAGACTCCACAGGTCCTCCAGGTGCTCTGATGTGCTCTGGCTCTGAGCAAACATCAAAGGGTACATTCCGCGTATGCACACTACATCAGGGGAGCCATGAGTGCCCCACAGTTTGAGCACTGTGTTGAGCTTGGGGTGCTCTGCTCCCTTTGGGAATCCATTTCTTGATGTTGAACCAATTACATGGCCATAGCTCACACCATCCATGAGGTCTGGGGCACAGCAGGGAATGAGGCTGTTGTCATCTCCCTGGTTACACCAGGGTTCGCTCAGTAGAGACAGGGTCTCCCTCTAGCCCCAGCTGGTCTGGAACTTGCTGGTCTGAAATCACAGTTGGTCTGAACTCACAGAGATCTGCCTGCCTCTGCCTTCTGAGTGCTGGGATTAAAGGCATGTACCACTCTGCCTGGCTAGTAAGAGCTTTTAAATTTCCTTTTTTACATTTATCTAGGGAGGAGTCATGTGTGGAGGTCAGAAGACAATTTGGAGGAATCAGTTTTCTCCTTCCACCATGTGGGTTCTGGGGATCAAACTCAGGTCCTTAGTCTTGGGAGCAAGTGCTCTAACCAATGAGTCATGTGGCTAGCCCTGGAACAGCTTTTTTTTTTAAAGACAGGGTCTCTCTATGTAGCCCTAGTTGGTCTGTAATTCACTATGAAACCAGGCTGGCCTTGAACTCACAGAGCTCCTCCTGCCTCTGCCTCTCAAGTGCTGGGATTAAAAGCATGTACTGCCATGCCCAGTGTAACCATTTATTAGAAGGAAATTTGCACATGGCTTCTGAAGACAGAGCTCTCTCCTAGAAAAATAGAGAAAATACAAAAGAAACTATGTTTGCATACTTCTTTCCAGGCTGTTTTCAGTTGGGTGCGTCTCTTTGATTCAGTTCTTCTTAGACCATTACATCTAGAGTAGATCCCTGGGCTGTTGTTTTCCCATAATGTGGATGAACCACAGCTTAAGCAGCCCTGGTGTTAGAAGTTGGGGATGTTTCCGGTTTTTTAGTATCATAAATGGCACTGTGAAGATCTTCCTGGTAGAACGTGAATCTCAGTTCTATATCTCTGGCCATCTCTCTAGTATGTAACAACTAACAGACACATGGTAGAGTCAAGATTCTGAATTCATCTTCATAAAATTACCACGAGAGAACTGGAAACTAGCTCCAGTCCCTCCCTGCTGACTGGGAGACCCTCCAGTTCACAGCATGGTCCAGTTTCAGAGGAGCAAGACTTCTTAGCCTAATGTGGGCAGAGCAAACTTCATCAGATAACCAAAACCCATCTCTCTATGCCAGCTGGCTGGTGGGGAGGAATGTATGGGGTGTCTCATAGGCCCCCTCCAGTCTAGGGGTCTCTCTGGGAGCCAGCAAGCACCCCAATTCTTTTCCCCTCCAGGTTGGGTGAGAGGGACAATGCTCACTGCTACAACTGGTTCTTGCCTAGTGGCCTGGAAGGTTTGCAGTTGCTATCAAATTCTCCACCCCGGGATCACAGGTTCTGGGGATTATAGTGGAATATAATGTAACATTATCTTTCCTACTTAAAACTTGAGACTGCCGGGTGTGGTGGTGCATGCCTTTAATCCCAGCACTTGGGAGGCAGAGGCAGGTGGATCTCTGTAAGTTCGAGGCCAGCCTGGTCTACATAGTTCCAAGACAGGTGAGGCTACAGGGAGACCCTGTCTCAAAAAGACCAAAAAAAAAACTTGAGATAGTTAACTATACACTACATAGAAAATAAAAATTTCCAATTTGATGTTTTTGTCTAGTCTATAAGCAAAATCATTTTTATTTAAATATACCTTATGTGTACAAACTTTTCCAAAGTATATTCAATAAAGCTAATAAATGCAGACTTTTCCAAGCCCTCAGGAGTGGAGTAAGTCAGAAATCTGTGCCGCTTATCAGAAAACAGAGGCCCAGAAGGGCTGTGGGTGTCCCAGACATCCCAGAACTCAAGTACAGACAGACTCTGCTTCATTTTATGCTCCTCCTGTGAGACTTGGGTACACAGGGTATGAGATCACCCAGCAGAAGGGTGTTAAAAAGTCATCTTAGGGAAATGATAAAATATGTGACCATCTTTTTTTTTCCTCCTATAGTTCCAAAAGCCCCAAGATTTGCAGTGATAAGATGTCCATCGACGCACAGGTGCTGAAGAGGAAGATCAGCAGGACATGTGACGAGGCAGCCCGTACCCTCCTCCGCAGCCTCCTCTTCTACATCTTGGACCGTGAAGATGGACCCCAGAAGGCAGAAGATGGGAAGCACAGGGCCAGCTGCCCATCTCAGTCCCAGGAAGTTGGTCGGAGGCCCACACGCTTCCAGCTTCTCCAGGCTAAATTCATGGGCTCTGGCCGGGAGCCCCACCTCAAAAGGACACGGGAGGTAGGCCGACTGATCTCCAAGGACAAGCAAGGACCTGGTAGGAGCCTTGTGAGTGCCACTATCAACAAGCTCTTAGAAAAGACCAAGGAAGGTACCAGCCAGAGGCCTCCAACTAGTGAGAAGCCCCAATGGAGCCCCCCAAGTGGGAAGAGCACTGTGAAAAACATCCTGAAGAAGTTCTTGGCTGCAGAAGAGAAGGAGGCTAAGGAGAAAGAAGCATGGGAGAAGCCCCCTGCTCCGCGGCCTGGAGCTGCCAGGGGCCTTCTGCCCAAAATTGTGGGCCGGACTTCAATCTTCTCCAAGCTGAAAGAGAGATTTGAACAGAGCAGCTGCCTGCGCTCAGAGGTTGGTGTGTTGCCCCTGCACAGGGAGGGACGGAAGAGTAAGACCCTACAGAAGAAGAAAGTGCAGAGGCCACAAATACGGGTGCTCCACATGGCCACCCTGGCCACCAGTTGTACCAGGACTCCCCCTGCTCACCTTCTGGCCTGCACAGCTGAACCCCTACCAGCCCTCAGCATTGCCACCATTGTCTGCGGCCCCCAGAGCTGGTTGTCCCACTGCACAAAAATTAGTCACTTGGAGTCCAGGCGTCAGCCCATCAGAGAACCCAGTCTGTCCTCCAACTCAGAGGACATGGAGCCTGCAGGAAACAAAACACCAGGAGTCCTGAGCAAGGAGCAGAGAGAACAGCTAAAGTCCTTGGTGCCCCAGGCTGTGACTCATGTAGACAGCCACGTGGCTCTGAACACAGAGTGTATACTCCAACCAAGTTCTTCTGGCATGTCCTGTGAAGGCAGAGTCCTCTCTGTCCAAGTACCAGCATTGTCCCCACTTGGACTGGCCCAACCCAGAGGTGCTGGACCAGCTGAAAACGACAGAACACTGGGGCCCAATGCACAAGAGGCGACAGACCACACCCAGGGGGTGAAAGAAGACACAAGGGAAGCCCCTGAAATCATCATGACTGTGTGCAGTTCTGAGGATGAAGCAGAAAGGACGTCCTCAGACTTAGAAAGAGAACCCTTCTTTGCCATCCAGAGACACCTGCCAGAACAGGAAGCTGTGGCACAGATCCCCCTTCTGGCCCCTCTAGCAGTCCAGGCTGAGCAGAGAGCACAACCTGCTATCAAATCTCCACAAATAACAGTGCAGCTTCCTATTGTTCATGAAATGCCAGCCCTTCCTCCCGCTCCGACCCCTCTGCAAAGTGCAGCAAGTTGTGAAGACAAGTGTTCTTGCATTTTGAAAGGAGAGAACATGACCGAAAATACACAAGCTGTATTTTCCACTGTGACTGAAGACAGGAAGAGTCACCAAGCCCCAATGATAATGAATAAATCCTGTGGGATGCCAATGAGCCTTGGTCCTACTGCAGAGCACAGACTCCAGGAAGACTTAAGAGATGCCACCAGTGTGGATGGTGATGGCCCACAAATGTTTCTAATACCAATGCCTTCAAAAAATGTTACTGGCGGAAAGGAGAAAAAACACAGCGTTGAGAATGCCCATGATCTCAGGTATTGCAGTGGTGTTTCTAGACAGAGTGTCACTGACCTCAACTGGGAAAAACACCCATTGCCAGAGTCAAATGAAGCACCTACAGCTAACTATGGCACCTCAAGTTATTCCACTGCTGTGGAAAGCCATTCAGAAATAGGTACATGTTCTGCTGCTGGCCCACAGCAAGAAGTACCCACTACTGGGCTGATGCCATCCCAGGTCTACATAAGGCCTGAGAGTTCTATCACAACAGGCAAGAGCATCCAATTTGTGCAGGAGGAGTGCAAAAGGCCCCTGAACAAGTCATCTCCACCCCTGAGGGATCCTCAGGAAAACATCAGCTATGATTCGGGCAATAACAGTCAGTCATCATTAGATAAACAGCCTAGGACAAGTATCAAAGCCTCTGGGGAGGCGACCATTATAGGAAATGTCACCAGTCTCACAGTACCACAGCCAAGTGGTGCCCAGAACCCTGAACACAAGTTAACACTATGGCCAGCTGGTGCCCAGGACACAGAAAACAGGATAACACCATCTGAAAACAAGACAATGCCACAGCCAAATGGTACCCAGCACACTGATCACAGGATAATGCCACAGGCAGCTGGTGCCCCAGATGCTGAGCACAAGAAAAGGCCACAAGCAGGTGGTGCCCAAGATGCTAAACACAAGATAATGTCATGGCCAACTGGTGCCCAGAACAATGAACACACGGTGACATCACAACTACATGGTGCTCAGGGTGCTGAACCCAAGATAACACATCTAGGTAGTGCCCAGGACTCCAATCACAAGCTAGCACTATGGGCAGGTGGTGCCCAAGCTGCTGAACACAAGACAACACCACAGTCAGATAGTTCCCAGGACAATAAACACAAGAAAACACTATGGCCAGTTTGTACCCAGAATGATGAGTGCGAGATAATGCCATGGGCAGTTGATGCCCAGAGTACTAAACATAAGACGACACCACAGCCAGGTAGTGCCCAAGACACTGAATACAAGGTCACACCATGGGCAGGTGGTGCCCAACACCCTGGACACAGCACGCCACCACAGTCGGGTGGTTCCTTGAACACTAAATATAAGATAATGTCACAAGCAGGTGATGCTCAAGACATTGAACACAAGATAACACCACGGGTGGGTGATGCCGAGGATGCCGAACAGATAACACCGTGGTTATATGGTAATCAAAACACTGAAAACAAGACAACACCATGGTCAGGCAGTGTTCTGGACTCTAAAGACAAGATAACACAAGAACCCAGCAGCCATTCTTTCTTGGCACCAAGCAGGTTCTCACAGCACAAGAGTGGAGCCGTTGAAGGAAGCATCACAGCGGGCATGGTGCAGAGTCAGCGCCCAGAGTCGGCAGCACCAACTGTTCAGCCAGGGGAAACTGCGGATTCCTTCCTGGTGCCTGCTGAGTCCCACCTATGTGTTTCCAGTGAGCCAGCAGTGAGCAAACCCGGCCAAAGGGCAGCAAACATAAACAGACCCATGGAAGGAGGCCCTCTATGCAGCAGTACAGCATTCCCAAGTCCACAGAAGAACCCAGGAGGGTGCCTCGCCCAGGCACCGCTGCCCCCTGTGGGCCAACATGCACTGGAAGGAAAATGTCCTGAGAGAGAGCAACACCTTCTTCCTGGCGCAACACACTCCACCATGCAGCCTACAGGGTCAGCCATGAGGGCAGAGACCAGGCATGTGGAGAGAGCCCAAGATCAAAAGCTTCTTTCCCCGACACAGCAGGCAGAGCATAGGGTTGTCCCCCAGGCAAAAAGCCTGGGGAGTAAAGCCAAAGAAAGTCTACCAACACAGGTGGATGTAGGGAAGCCACAGAGTCACCTTGGGTCAGAGGAAATTGGCATGGGGCATTTAAGGTTATACCAGGCTGGAGGACCAGATGCTTCTGCATCTGCACAGAAGGCTGTGCTGTGTGTGACAGAGCCTCAGGTATGGGCTTCTCAGGACCTGGTAGTGAACAGTAAGATGCCAGTGGAGAAAACCCCCCACCAGCACAGGGTCAGGGGCCAGGAGCATCCACTGAGGCCACTGGGGAGACAGGAAGGGAGCCCAACTCAAGGACACAGCCCCCAGGCTGGCAAGAACCCAGCTACCCCAGGGAGCCCTGGAAAGCCTGGTGGCCTGGCTGTACAGGGACAGACCCAGGGTCATGGACAGGCCAGCCACTCAGTGCCTCAGGCCTGGGGACAACCTGACAGCCTAGCTAAAGGAGCACCCACTGCTGGTACAAGTGGGGAACCTCTAAGTCAAGGCCCCAGAGTCAACAGCCAAGGAAGCCCAAGCACCCAGCACCTGCCCCAAGAAAGTCAGTCCCTGGCTGGCAGCAGTACCACAACCTGCTCTCTGGAGACAGCAGATGGCTCTCCCCAGCTCACATCCCATGCTGGGGGCCACCCACCCTCCCAACCCTTTGCCCAAGATGGGTTCCCAAATTCCCCTGAGGCAAAAAAGGACCTGTCAGATGGCAGGCATCGCAGGTCGGTGCACTTTGCAAAGTATCATGCCCAAAGTTTCAGTGACCAGAGAGCCTTTGATCTGTCCTTCAGACCCACAGTTCTCAGGGCCAGCGACACCTTTGAGCCCCCAAAGTGAGATTTCACTATGAACCTATAGTGCTCCAGCGCTCATGGGTGGGATTCAATGTGGTGTCCCTCTCCAAATGAATGTGTCTTTGAACATACCCTACAGAGAGAATAGAAATATTAATGTCCCTTCTTTGTTCTCACTTTATATGAACTGATCTTGGGGATTCATGCAGGCATTGCCTGCTCATGTCTAGGGCACTGCACTCTTTCCTGTAACCTTGAGGCTCCCTGACATGAGGAAGGTGCTGGCCGCGGCTGCCTGCTATGGCCCATTGCTTACATGGGTCTGCATGACATTTGATCTACACTGTGACTTGGAGGGCACAGAACACTCATTTCTGCCCTAGGAGAGCAGAGGTCAGTATCACAAGCTGCCCTTTCTGTCCTCTGGCCTCCTGCTCCCAAAGGGTTCTTGACCATGTCCCTGCCCAGCACCCAAAGTCAGCACCTGTAACCTGCAACCTGAGCCTTGTATATATGGGAAAAGCAGTACTTACCTAAGCTACATGGACTCCTGGACTGGTACCAGGCTCCTGTGGATCACAGCTGGCAGGACCCTGGGGTCACGGACTGGCTTGTCTTCTGGCAAACATCAGGAAATTCCCAGGAAGGCAACCACAGGGAGCCACAGGAGGCTTTTCCAACATTGAAATAAACAATTCCAAGCACACTTTTGTTCAGGACACTGTCACCTTTACCATCCCTGCGGCTGCCTGCATCCCTGATGTGAGCCAACCTCTTCCATCCTGCTGTCAACTGAACTACCCTACATGAATCCAATTGTTTTCAGCTGCTAAAGAATTTCTGTCTGGGATGTTTGCTGTCACGAGAACTTATGAGGAAGGCAACTAGTCAGCTGTTGCTATACTGCCTCAGGCTCATTTAACGCCTTACAGTTTCCAAACTGCCCCTTGTAAGTGTGTCTACTGTAACACACACAAGTGGGCCCACCAGGCACACTGGAGCAGTGTGCAACAATTCAATCTCTTCAAGCTCTGACACTCACACTTCAGTATGGCCTCCTAACTCATAGGGATGCCCCATCCCAACAGAACCACAGAGGAACTGAGGTGATGGTTGTCAATATCCCAGCATACTCTCCTTTGGTGACACCCTCTCTGAAATACTGCCTTCTGCCTTTTGAAGACTTCTGTTTGCTTTCCTCACAACCAAGAAATTCCCTAAAATGCCCTCCTCACCTTGGAGATGGCACTATATACACTGGAACTTCCTTTGTTTTCTGACTCAAATATCCATGTCTAGCAAGAATGTCCTGTCCTATCCCTGATGAGGCTGGGTATGGGTGTCCCCGCTCCAGTTCAAGGCCATTTGAGCAGGCAAATGAGCCATTGCACAGAAACCTGAGCTCCCTGGGTCAAGCAGGAACCACAAGGTCCTCATGTGTTGTGCTCTGCATGGTGTCAGTTCCACAGCACCCTCCAAACACTCTGTACTCCCCCTGTAGGAGGTGGTGCTCCTAGCCGCCTTCATGGGGCCTTTACCAGGGTTACAGGGTTCTTACCAGTAGGTAAGAGTTTGAGAGTTTCCCCCTTGTGTTCATTGTCAGGCACCTTAGTTGTGCCTCTGGGGGTCATCTATCTCCTGGGGTCCTAAGGAGATGCCTCAGTCTTTGTTTATCAAGCCTAGACGGCAAAGAGCCTGTGTGGGGCAAGGTGCAGCAACTCCTACCCTACCCATGGGCTCTATAAAGCCAGCTCCTTAGAGACACAAGACAGGAGAGTAGAAGTGGTTCCAGTAGAGGTCACATACCCCTACAGCCCTTTTTGGAGTTATAAAATGTACCTGCTCACACGAGGCTGTCCATGGACTTGGGAAGCGGCTCCAATACCTCAGGTGCCCAGAGAGGGGTATCCCCCATCACACAAGTGCAATGGTTATTTCACTTATTTTTTCTTATTACAGTTTGTTCCACAAAGGACATGAGGTAATGTTTGACAAAAAGCATGATGACAGAAAGGAAATAAAACATCATGCTCACAGGTGTCCCTTTAAGAAGCATCAGCAACTAATGCCAAAGGTGGGGTGCAGACCATCCCCGATAAGACCCCAATAAAAACATTTATTTAAGCTTCTGGCTCACAGATCAGTTAACGCACAGGAGCTACTCACTGGCTCATGGCCTGCTGTAAGCTTTCAGCTGCTTCATAGACCCTCTGTTCATAGACCCTCTGCAGACCCTTTGAACACAGATGGTGGGTAAGGCCCTCACATGGCACAGAGTCTGCCTGTCAGGAGACACCATGAGTGATTATAAAATGCTCGCTTGAGACTGTCACTCTCAGAATTATGCAGAGTCAATATCACTGTGGGAATTGTTATAGGTCGGAGTTCGTAAAAAAATCACCAACACCACTTTAAGAAAAGTAGCAAGGTAAATTTTAATTTTCAACTAACTGGGCTGTCTACCTCAGGAGTAGAAGCACCCCTGATGATTGTCAGGTCAGAGTTTTTATAGGATTACAGAATTGTTATTAAAACAGGACACTTGTGAACCAATCAGGTTTGTACAACATAGCAGAATTTTGACTCTATTAACCAACACCCAATCATTATACAGACAAGTGATACAGTCACATAACTTGGCAATCAACTTTGTGACCTTAAAACTAGCCAACTATTTTAGCCATAATAAGTATAATAAGACAGTCAAGGTAAATGACTTCTAGGTGGTCATACAATAACAGGATAACAAGGGTGGTCTTATGCCCTGTATCAAGGTGACCCAAGATAGCAAGCGGATTACAGAAGGGAAAACAAGCTGGTTAGTCAGGTATATAATGTCTGGCATTAGCACATTCCATGATTCATGGCTAGGGCAATTTTCTAAGACCCAAGGTTGCCCCCCACCCCTTTGGTGTAGAGCAAAGTTGCTGCTGAAATGGCTCTGAACAGAATGGAGTAACTTAGGGAAGTTTGCTGAGCCAGTTCAGGAATGACTTATTAATGGACCTAATCTGGACTAATGACTTTTAATTAATCCCAGCAAAACCATCCACTCTTGGGTCTGATGAGCAGTGTCCCCTTGGCAGCCGCAGTTTGGTACTCTACTCAAAAAGATAATGAATGTGGTGTGGGTATGCTTGAGAATTAACATATCAAAGCGTTACAAGCAGTGTGCCCACCCATCTCCACTGGACACAGTGGAGGCAGGGAAGGACATGTGACCTTGGATGAACATGAACTAGGCATGAAAAGACCAGATGGTCTCTTAAGATTAACACTGGAACTGGGTGTGGTGGTGCAGGCCTTTAATCCCAGCACTCAGGAGACAGAGGCAGGCAGAGCTCTGTCTACATAGCGAGTTCCAGGCCAACTGGAGCTACGTACGGGGAGACCCTCTATCAAAACAGACAGAAAAAAAAAAAAAAGATTAACGGTGGAGCAGAACTTGAACATGTACTTCCCCAAGGAAGCTGGAGAAACCATATTGAATAAATTATGCATGTGGCCTGATGTGGACCGAGTGGCAGAAACGGTTCCAGAGGCAGTTCCTTGGGCACAGGGTGAGGACACAGACGCTCTGTCTCCACAGGTTAAGTGGACAAGAGAGATCCATGGGCACAGTTCTGGGAGACACATGATTCTAATAGATAGCTAGGGGAACTACAGTCTTCTCTTAAAAACTTAAAGAGTCTCCGGGTGTGGTGGCACACGCCTATAGTCCCAGCACTGGGGAGGCAGAGGCAGCCGGATCTCTGTGAGATCGAGGCCAGTCTGGTCTATATAGTCAGTTCCAGGTCAGCTGAGGCTGCAGGGAGACCCTGTCTCAAAAAGCAAAAAAAACAAAAAATACACACAAAAAAACTTAGAGTCAGGTTATTTGTTCAGGTGATTATGTTATTGACATAATAATAAATATCACAACTTACTCTTTTTTTTCTTACTTTTTTTCTTTTTTAGACAGGGTTTTCTTGTAGCCCCAGCTGGCCTGGAATTTACTAAGTAGACCAGGCTGGCCTTGAACTCACAGAGATCTGCCTGCCTCTGCCTCCTAAAGTGCTGGGATTAAAGGTGTGTGCCACCATGCTCAGCTCACAACTTACTTTTTTAACCAAGGATGTCTTGCCATTTTAATTATGTGGCAACCTTTTAAGTTTTCTTTCTATCCTTTTTGTATATAAAAAACTCTAATCTAGTGGATTTGTCAGAAAAAAACCCTATATTTTGTTGTATTGTCTCCTTTGAGTTTGTACTAACATCATACAGCTGGACTTTAAAAATATATATATTTTTAAAATTTTTTATGTGTATGAATGTTATGCCTGCATGTAGGTAAGTGCACCTGTATCGTGCAATGCTCAAGGAGGACAGAAGCTATCAGATCCCCTGGAACTAGAGTTATGGGCAGTTGTTAGTTGCCGTGTGGATTCTGGGATTCAAACCCGGGTCTCCTGCAAGAACAGTCAGTGCTCTTAACTGCTGAGCCATCTCTCCAGCACCCTGGAATTTTTTTAAAAAAGGAAGTAAATTTTATTTCCCATTATAAATCTTACTTGCATCTTTGAGCAGGCTGCACATGCAAAATAGGTCTCACATACTAGGAAGTAGCCACGAAGGGAGGGGCAAGCTCAGTGGGGCAAAGCCTGGGCTGAGCATGGTATGGAAAGCTGGGGTCAGTACCAGGGCTAGCAGACATAGAGGCTCTGTCCAGAGGGGCCAGGTATGGGAGGAGAAACTCAGCATGTGCTGGGGATGGAGATTGTGACACCATCCCATCCCTGGCTCTATTTAAATAATTCACATGCCCACTCTAGAGGAAAGACCATCAGCCATCAGCTGCCTGAGGTTCTTTAGCTCTAGCTGAATGGAAATCATAAGAAACTCCCTTGGTGCTGGTCTTTGGCAGTCTTGGTATCCTTCAGCATGTGGTAGCAACAGCAGTGAGTCTTGGTAGCACACAGCTGAGAACAGCAGTAGGTGACTCCCTCTAGTGTTACAGCCCTTGTGTGGGTCTCAGTACCCGGCCTCTTAGCCCTGGGATGACAA